TATATAAAGATTCCTCCTTTGTGATATGACATGGCCGGCCAAATCAAAAGTCATAATGGGACAAATGCAGACATCTCTGGCATAAACTCGTCTTCTATGGTTAGTTTTCCCTTTCAGATGATCTACTGTTTGAAGACGATTTTGATGAACTTTTTGTATACGTGTCCTCCTTGCACCAAATTTCATCTTACTCAACAAATTTTGCTCCCTTGCTCTGACCCTGGAAATTAAACAGGCTGGTTTTGCTATTGTACCTTGAAGACCTCTGTATGTAAATGACTTTGCATGAAAAATGAGTAACAATTGCATCGAGCATTGAATATGCATTGATATGTAAATGTGGGAGGTCATACATTATTGTGTTTATGATTTTTTAATGAGGCGTTAGTGGGGAAGGACTTATATAAAGTACATCAAACAGTTATATTTCAGAAAAGCAAGAAAAATCCTATTTTCCATGACGTGAACACAAGCGTCTACATCTTGCTTTCGCACCAGCCGCTTGACACTTCAGCATTAATGTTCAGTCAAGGAGGAAATATATGGAAGATGGAAAAGCACAAGAGAAACGTGTGAAACAAAACAGATAAAAGACTAATATAAAGTGTTACAGAAGTCTCAGCTTAGCAGCATTAGCACAAATGCATTTTTCATGGACAAGGACAAACTCTCTGGCGGAGTGTTTGACAAATCTTTTTGATAAATCCAAAACTAGACATAGGCAGATAATCGATTTGGCTTGAGATTTTTTTTACACTTCTCTAAACTCACACTTGGTTACTAGTTCTTTTTACTGATAATGGCTTCATTTGATTTCTAAACAGTAGCACCCAACAACAAGCAACAGCGGGATTGATTTCATCTCACGTGAAAAATACTTGAACTCGTTATACATTGTCCAAAACAAAGATGAAAATAAACTTGCACAATATTAATACTACTACTATTACTACTAATTATAATAACATTATATTATTATATAATATTGTGCAAGTTTATTTTTTATCTTGGTTTTGTCCAACAAGTTCCATTATTATTATTATTATTTTTTTTTTTTATTATGTAATGGTTAATAATTACATTGGAAAGTAACTATTATTAATATTTTTATTAACATTACATAATAATAATAATAATAATAATTATTATTATTATTATTATTATTTGTTGTTGTTGTTGTTATCAAAAATATAGTACATATAAATATTGTTAATCACTGGATATTTAAAGACATAATCAGTCAATCAATCAATAAAGGGTTACTATAATTATTCATTTAAAATGTAATAATTTAACTTAATTTAAATATAAGAAAGAAAGAAAGAAAGAAAGAAAGAAAAAAGAAAGAAAAAAGAAAGAAAAAGAAAAAGAAAAAGAAAGAAAGAAAGAAAAAGAAAGAAAGAAAGAAAGAAAGAAAGAAAGAAATTGTGCAGTTTTTGTTTTTCAGTCTAATGGTTTTAGTTTAAATTATTTTCATTGTTATGGGTTATATCTAACTATCAAGAAAAGCAATTATGAATTTGATTAAAATAGTTCATGCATGTCGATGATCAGTCTCTGAAACAAAAATAATTGGCATCAGTAAAAAATAAATACAAATTTGGTCAGTCTCTTTCCTAAAGCCAATGTTATTTTGTGAGCATAACACTCATGTCGTTATATGACACCAGATGCAAGTCTTTAGGTGAGGAGTTCTTATAAAACGCTCGCAGAAGTCCTACCAGATGGTGATGTAGTCGTAGATGGGCTCGGTGTTGAGGACGGTGAAGTTGATGTGGATGCCGTTGCCTGGAGGTACTCGGATGCTCCATATGCAGTCTTTAAGATTGGGGTAGTCAGCCGGGTGGCCCGGAGAGTAGATGGTCCCATTGAGGGCCGTGATATTACCACCGCAAAGTGCTGACGGAGGACAAATAAAATCAAAACGCAATCAGCTATTTGTGGAGAATTGCAATGCCTTACATACAGCTGCAACAAGCAATAATGCAGTGACATAAAAATGTGATAAGCCTAAAGTTCACCGCTAAAGTCCTGCCTCCATACATGGTCCATAATATCCCCTGAACATCTCGTAGAATCTACAAAACATGACAGTTTCGTTAAAAGCTGGTTTTCTGTAAGATGGGCTCTGTACCTTCACAGCGAGGAACAGGATGGTTCCAGTTGCGGCTGATGCCATGCAGACACGTGAGCGACGCTTCGCCCAGCAGCGTGTATCCCGGCAGACACTGGAACGAGATGGTCATGCCCACTCCAAAATCACTGCCAATCACCACACCATTCCGAAAGGGCCGCGGATCCGGACACCTCTGCAGTTCATATGCTGAGTGATCACAGAGCAGAAGGCTTTATTCAGTGAGAGGCCATGAGAAACGCCAATGTCCATCAGTGTTGTTATGGATAACTAAAAGTATTAAAAATAGCTTTAGGCAAAAAAAAACTAAAACAAAGAGGCCAAAATAAAATAAAATATTAGATTAAATAGAATTTCTTAGTATAGAATTTATAAAGTAGTATAGAATAAAATAAAACATTTTTAATGTAAATGAAAATTATATTTAATATACTCAAGTGGATGTAATAACCTCTACTAAAACTGAGATAAAAATAAATGAAAGCTATAGAGAAATTTAAAAAACTAATAAAAATGACAAGCGCATAAAATTACTAAAACTAAAATGAAAACTGAAAAGACAGAAATAAATGCTAATTTAATGTAGCGAATCAGCTCATGGGGAAATATGAATAATTATTCATATTTCCCCATGAGCTGATTCGCTACATTAATATATTTATACATCCTATAATATTATATAAATAATACTAAAGTAACACTGTCAATCCAGTCAAAGAAATTACTAAATAAAAGCATACAAATATACCAATCAGCGTTAATTTTGACTGCAAATTTTGATTTAGTTTCAGTCATAGTCTTTTGACGAAAATGCTATTTAGTTTTAGTAATATTTTAGTCAACGGAATTGATTTAGTTTTAATCTAGTTGGACTAAAAGACATAACATATTAGGTCCGTTTTTATTCATTTACGAAAATGTCAATGGGTTTTTGTCATTCAAAATGTGTGTTGATTCTGTTATAGTCTCGTTTTCGTCAGAAAAAAAAAATGTTGTTGGGTGAAAATTAAGACGAAAATTGTTCATCAACGAAATTAACACTGATACCAATGATACCTAGTTTAACAACAACAAAATACATTAATTATGCAATAAATTCAAACGGTTCAAGATACTTTAAAAATGATAAAATATTTAATGAAAAACATAAATAAAAAATTAGAAATGTGTTGTCTTTAAAACTACAGGGTAACTGAAATAAATAAGTTTAAGTACTAAAATAGCTAAACCTGAAATAGAAATAAATTAAAGCCATATAGAACTTTATATTAAAAAAACTCAAAAACTAATAAAAATGACAAAAGCACACAACAGTTACTAAAACTTAATCTAAAATATAAATACTAAATAGTATACTACACTGAAATTACAAATTACACAGAAAAAAAAAAGCAACAGAATGTACCCATAATACCTATTTTACTGAAAATGTATGTTTGATTATGCAGGAACTTCAAAAGGTTCTCCTATAGCTTATAGCTGCTTCAGAAATTAAATTCTAAAATAGTTTACTAAACTTATTGTCCATGATGTGGCAAATGCGTAGACAATAATTGTGTATTATATAAGGGAATCATAAAAATAACTTTGCATAAGTTATTTACAGAACATAAAAAATCCTAATGATTCATCCAAAATGTCTAATGTCTAAACTTAGCAGTCTGACCACACACATAACAACAAAAAGAGTGTCACAGAAGCAATACATATTTTGTGACTAATATTGAAAAGCAAGATCCTTTCTGTGCTGTGTCAAAGGAAGCGGTTTCACTGAGGACGAGAGCTTCTATTTTTTACTTCAAAAACCCAACGACATTCTCAAGTGACGAGGAACATCTCACTGTTCAGGAATCATAAAGTCAAAATACTGACAGATTCCTGCCGTGTAAACCAGAAAGGCACAAGGGGTGGAATATAAAAATAGATTTGAAAACACAATACAGTTGCTTCTGAGCGGTTCTCGGGGCATTGTCATGTGCTGTTAGGGTTTGACTGTCAGGTGAAAACTGGATAATCATTTAGCAAAAGCAAACCTCTCCTCATCAGCAAGGTGCACAATTTCATGTCCGTGGCACAAATGGGAAGTTACATACTAAAATGTAACACTTAGGGGTTTTTATAGTTATGTTACCCTATAGATAACATCATTAATAACCTCACAGAACAAATCACATATGCTGTACTACGACAAACTTCACATATGACACAGATGACTTTAATAGGAGAAATCGCAGCAAAATGGTGCGTCTTAATTAAAAGACACTGATGTTAACTAATTTATAGTAATTCTACTTATGCACTACCATTAGAAAGTTTGGATAAACTACATTTATTTTATGCTTTTGAAATAAAGTCTAGCCAACAATTGATCAAAAACGCAGTAAAACAGCAGTATTGTTAATACTGTTAATATTATTATAATTTAATTATTGTTTGTTTGTTTGTTTGCTTGTAATATATTTAAAATTGTAATTTATTCCAGTGACTTTTGTGATACATTACCATTCAAAAGTTTAGGGTAAATAATGACAAAAGAACATCAAAGTACTGAAACTAAATTGAAAACTGAAAACACAGAAATAAATGCCAATTCAATAAATGTATACATCTTATAATAGTATATAAATAATAATAAAGTAACACTTTCAATCCAGTCAAAGAAATCTCAAAATCAAAGCATCCAAATGAACCCATTATATCTAGATTACAGAAAATGAACATTTTATTACGCAGGAAATTCAAAAGGTTCTTCCAAAGCTTCAAGCTGCTTTAAAAATGATAAAATATATTAAAATAGATGAAAAGCATAAATGCAACTCTTCAACAATTGATCAAAAATGCAGTAAAACTGCAATATTGTTAATACTGTTAATATTATATTTTATGTTGTAATATATTTAAAAATGATTTTTTTTTCCTGTGATGTTTTAACTGCTTGATATTTTTGTGGAATACATTACTATTCAAAAGTTTGTGGTAAATAAGATTTTAAAATAACTAAATAAATAAAAATGTAAAAAAGTGAAATACTTTAAATAAACACTAAACTTTCTATTTATCAAAGAATGCATCAAGGTTTCCACAAAAATATTAAGCAGGAAAATTTTCAACATTGATAATAATAAGAACCATTTGACTTTTGAACGCCAATAATAATTGATAATAAATGTGCAGCAAATCAGCATCTTAGAATTTTTGAAGGATCATGTGGAATAATGATACTGAAAATCCAGCTTTGCATCACAGGAATAAATTACATTGGAAAATATATTTAAATAGAAAACAGTTATTTTTAAATTGTAATATTATGTCATAATATTTCTTTGAAAAACATTTTTACAAATCTTAATTATTCCAAAGTTCAGACCAGTAGTGAATCATTTTTAATTCTGGTATTTTATTGCTGGTTTTTAATTAGCATGCTGAGCTTTAGCTGTGTGCAGGGTTAAATCCTCTCAGAAAAGCTGGGACTCTAAATGTATCCTCTTTAAAGCACCAGAGCAATAGCTGTACACATTCCCAAAACCAGCCTAATTATACGGGGCTTTTGGTTAAGACCGATCAGTCATTCCGGCAGCCTACCAACTAGCACAGATGTAGTTGCATTTGGAGCTGCACTAGCCTGACTGTGGATGTTACCGAGATCCACTGACTTGCTTTCAAAAAGGCCTTTGACTGAACTCAAAGAGAACAATTGGCTATATTCCCTATCCTGTTATTGTGAGAAGGGATCCAGTGGTGTGTGTCCGTATCGACAGGGGAGGTAATGGCCGTGGGCAGGTTTAATCCGTCTTACCCTCGTAGGTGATGTGGAAACCGAGTTTGTTCTGCGAGTAGTCGCTGTGAAAGAAGAAGCTGGTCTCGTGGGTCGTGCTGAAGAAAGATTCTGGAACAACGGGCCCACTGAACCTATCGATCACCGAGCCCAGCGTCCCGCTACGGACTTCAAGGTAGTCGTGCACAGCTTCCGTGGAGAAGTTGAGGAATTGTAGGTGAATCCCTGGATCATAAACAATAGGAGGAGAGATACAGTACATTTTAACAATGAGATACCTGAAGGTAAACTTTGAGAGTTCAAACAAAACAATCCACGACTTGCAGCTTCAAGAAACACAACATTCCCAGTTATAAATCATTGCTATTCCATAATTTTTAGATTTTACCGCAAAAAAACAAGTCTTGCAAAAGAAAAATAATTCTTAGGTTGCTGTTTCATAACTCAGATGACTTCATGAAGCTTTTATTTACTTTTCATTGACTACCAATTTTGTCTCAGATGTTTTTCCCTTTGGTTGGTAAAAGATCCTACTGTAAGTAGAAATACGAATAGAAATAAAATAATAGTTCACATACTGTAAGAGTACTGAGGTCTAAAATGAATGTGGATAACAACAATGTTATTTTAACGTCATTAATATACTATTATAGTTTTATTAATTAATTACTTATTTGAACTTGTAGAATTACTTGTACTACATTTGAAAGTTGTAGTAATTTTGTTCTGCAATTTTGACCTTTTTAATATATTTTTTTATGTCTATTTACTATTTATTTCAGTTTTAGTTTTTATTTTAGTACTTCAACTTAAACTAAATGAAAATTAGAAATGCGCATAGCAACTAACAGTTTTTATATTTAATTTAATTTAACGTTTATTTTAAGTAACAAAAAAAATGTTTTTTAATGGTTTTGGTTTTAGTTTACGATGATAGCATCTGAGATCCTTTGGTCTTGGGAGAATTTATTGAGAAATATTTGAGTTCTTAATTAGATATCTGGATTTTCATGAACTCTAACACATGAGGTGAGATTACTGAGGTCTTTTTCTTCGGGAGAAACATCTAAGACAGGAGATTTTACATTTAATCTCATTCTGTCAAGAGATATAAACAACTGAGATATAAATTAAATCCTATTTGGGGGAAAAGAGGAAAAATGGAACTCAAAAGTTACAGGATACAGACCAAATCCAACAGGAAGTTTAACTGTCCAGTTGCAGTCAAGTCCACTGGGGTAATTTCCAGGAAAGCCGGGACTTAGGATGACTCCATTCAGGTCCGACAGGAATCCCCCGCACTCGGCTTAAAAGACAAGAGCAGCCATGCACAGAGTCAGTGAAGATGGCATGCACAGAATACTGTACCTCACACCGGGAACAGACACCCAATGGAACAATAAGAAATGATCAAACAGATATTCATCAAGTCCAAACTCCATTACGGAATCCAGTGATATGCAAAATGAACTCATTTGCACATATAAGAAAGCCCCGTGTTCTTGGTACATATAAATAACAATGCAACGATGTGCAATAAGAAATGCTTTCAAATGCTAATGGAATAAATGTGCTGCGTTCATTTTGAGGTTGGGAGAAAATGATACATGGGTTATGTTTTCTCATAACGACTTTGTAAATTAACACCACTCGAACTCGCTGGGATTGAAAGGCCAATATCGAAGCATGTAAGACTGACATATATCCCCTTGATTTTACTTCGGAGCGTGTGCATATCCCCCTGTCCGCTTGGTTGTGCTTGCATTCTTCTTATTGGCAAACGTGTAATGAATGGCCTCTTGGACTCGCTGTGTCCATTTACAGTACTTTAGAACAGCAATTGAAATGTCAATAGAGAACATTGAATCTTCTGTTTACACTGCAGGAGCTCGGATCAATTAAACTTCAAGTGTCACTCTTCAGCCATGGCCGTGGCTTGTGCTACATTCTAAAATAGATTCAGCTTTACTTTTCTATCCAAAGTAAATTCCTGAATTTAAGGAAGAAGAATTGAAATTGAATTAAATTTGTATAAAAACAATACCTGAACTAAATTATTTTGATGTTTGGTTCAGTATGAAAACATATCATACACACAAATCATAACCACTATATATCTGCATTAACATTAAATGATAACATTTTTTTTACATTTCTATACGTGATGTTTCAATATTCTATGGTTGGTATGAAACAGTGGCTACAACAAAATCAAATCGGAAGAAATAGCATAAATTCAAAAATAATTTCATCTGAGTTTAACTTAAATTCAATTTCAGAATTTAAGGAAGTAGACTTTAATTGGAATGAAATTTGAATTAAAAAAAAACCGCACAACGCTTAACTATCATATTACGATGCACTGTTGGAGAAACTTATTGACATCAAGCAGGTGGTGGAGTTATAACTTCTGCTACTAGTAATCAGTTTGAGATCAAATTAGTCTTAGATTATTGCTGTAAAAAATAAACATGGCATCTGAGAACTGCTTCGCTATTTTTGTTCTCCGATATATTGCGATTTTCCCCTTGGTACTAGAGCAACTACACTTATACACACCCTTCATGAAGGTGCTTTGATTCTCTTAAACTAAAAGACGTTAATGAAATTTGTAAATGAGTGAAATGAAAGATATAGATTGCAATACAAGATAGCTTGCTTATTTCTTTCAAGTGCATGATCTATTTAAAGTCAATATGTAACAAGACCACCAAGTTTGCAATGCTGTTTACGAATGTTCATCGGAACTTCCTTTAGTGGAATTTCTTTATAAAACGGATAGTTCCGGTCCTTGATTCTGATTGGTTGAGCC